AAACACAAGAATCCGCAGGAGCCGCCATCATCGTGAAGTGGGCGGGTGGCCGTTGCCGGGACGGTCCGCTCGCTCCAGCAGCAGCCCCCGGCAGATTGCCCGCCTCTGGCACCGGCCGCCGGGCCCAGCACCGCACCGCCGACTCCACCCATCTCAGTGGCCGAACAGCGCGGCCCTGTCCACGAACTGCCCAGCAACGCTGAGATAAAGCCAAGCGTCTCGGATGCCACGCCTGGCAAGACGGCGTGCGCCTCACGCCTGCACGACACGCATGCAACGCCACAGCATGACACAGCGTCTAGCGAGTACTCGAGTGACGACTCGGAGCTGCCGGGGGAAGCCCTGCATTTCTTTCTGCAAATCTCAGCAGGGCGCTTTTCTCTGCCTCTCAGAGACCTGGATCCCATGCACTGCCTGGAAGCAGAGAAAACAGATGCGCAAAGCATACTGGAACCAGACACCCTAGCCCTCTTTCATAGCGTAGTTTGGTCGGGTTGTTTAGGTTTCTTCCTTACCCTTTGGGACCCAGGCGACCTTAACACAGAACAGCACAGTTGGCTTCAAGCAATGCTACGCGCAGCACACCTGCAAGGAGCACATGTGGGTTTCTTTTTCCCGCACCCCTGCCCGGCCCAGCTTGAAGACAGCTACATTCAACTTTGCCAGGAGCTGGCCACGCACTGCTATTGGTCGACAGCCCTGGCAGAAGACGCTACGCCCCGCATCTTTTGCTGCACGGACCCCCAGCTTGGAGAAGTTGCGTCTTTAAGCTTCGCAGACATAGTAGCCTTAGCTAAACTTTCAGCATCGGGGGCTCCGCACTCAGTGGTGCCGCTCCGCAATTTTCATTCCTTTCTGCCGCAGTGCTTTAGCGCCAAACGCCCAGCGGTATGTGACGGCGCAGGACTCTTTAGCAATGCAGACAACATGTCTGGCTCGACTGCACAGTCTCACGCACCAATGAGAGCTGCTGCAAAGGACATTTTAGCTTATTTAAGACAGCATAACCTTGTGCATAGCATAGCCCAGCACCTCAAGAATCATAAGGAAACCGAGCCCCTTTCCGAACACCACGGCGCAGTCATTGCAGAAATCATACGCCGCAAGGTCGACCCAGAATGCTCTACAGAGCACTGCCTGGCCATTAGCCCAGGCCAGCCCTTTAGGCTCAATTTACTGCACAGCATCGCAGTATCAATCGCAGACAAAGATGCGCAGTTACCTCTGCTGCTAGATCAGGGGGTTCCCACGGGAGCCTTTGATCCCCTGCCGAGCAGTGGGCAATGGCCACAAGCACCGCACAGCATCGACGCATCGTCGGATCTGCAAGGCCCGCACCTCGAGCATTGCAGAGGAAATTGGACTGCAGCAGAGCAAAGCCCCGAACTGCTAGCACAGTTAATCCAACAAGAGGTCGAAAAAGGCTTTGTCAAACGCTTCGAAGGCACCGAGGAAGATGCCGCACTGCATTGGCCAAAGGGCACCGCCATTGGGAAGTTAAATGTCGTGGTAGCTGAGGGTCGAGACCCTCGGCTGGTACTCGACAGCACCGTGTGCGGCCTCAATCCGGCGGTCCATATCCCCGAACGCGTTGCACTGCCCACTGCATCCGATGTGCAGCGCACGTTCTTGGCGGAGGACTGCTACGCACAGCAAACCGCATTGTCCATCGACTTTAAAGCCGCGCACAAGTGCAACAAGGTCCACCCTTCGGAGCACGGCACACTTTTATTCCGGCAAGGCACCGCACTGTATTATTACACCGTTTGTCACTTCGGTGCCCGCTTTTCGGCATACTGGTGGCAACGCACAGGCGGCCTGATACTGCGCTGCATGCACGCGCTGCTAGGTCGTTATCCACATAAGGCCTGGCTATACGTGGATGATCTGCTCTGTATGCTCCGCACTGCACAGAGCGAGCAAGGCGCAGCTCTCATAGTTGCCTTACTTGCGGCATTGCATGCCCCGATAAGCTGGAAGAAAGCACAGTTTAGCACCTCCGTCACTTGGTGCGGCTGGGTTTTTTGCACCGCAACGGAAACTGTAGAGCTTGTTTCCACTAAGCTTCGCAAGCTCAGGGAACAACTTCAAGCCCTGCAACGCAAAAGCAAAATCCCACGCAAAGAACTAGAAGCTGTTCTGGGTTTGCTTAACTGGGCTACTAGCATTAGCAAACATCTTCGACCCTTCATGGCACCGCTGTATAAAGATTTGCATAGTGGTCAGGGCACCCTGCACAGCATCGCGCCGTCGGCATGGCAGGCCTTCTACGACTGCCTGGATGCTACGGGCCAACTTTCCCGCACGCCGACGGGTAGCTGGCTGCCACGCAATGGCAGAGTGCTGGAGGTGGGATCCCTCAAAATCTCTTGCAAGGCAGATGTCCCAAAGGTTCCACCCTCGCACAAGCACAGCTGGGTACGCATTTTCGACCCGCACCGAGGCGAAATTGACCTACGCCAGGAAAGCAAGTTTGTTCTGGAATGGCTCAGACACTGCTTTGCGCATGAGCAGCCCAGATCTCTTCGTGCAGCGCCGCTGCTCCACTGCCTCAGCGCCGCAGACGC